TTTTTTGTTCTGGACCACCCTGAATGCAAACCATTTTGTGTAGGGACAAGGCCACCTGGGCTCAGACTCCTACAGCACCTGCAGATACCTAGAACAGCGAGTGAGAACCCATTTGAGGTTATCAGGGCAGAACAAGTGGAGGGTAGAGTGAATTCTAGAAAATAAGAGAAATGAATCCAGTGGAAGGAAATGCCTTGGCAATTGCCATGAATGGGTACATTGACATTGGCTTAATTCTGTACTGAGATACACTGGCCACTGCAGCAGTGGCTGCCATTACCACGGCCCGCCCAGTAGCCCATTCTGAAGATGAGTTCAGTGGTCTCAGTTCTCATCCTGTGAAGGAGATGCATTTCATATTCACACCCTAAGATGGGATTCGATCACTTGCTAGACATCTGGTAGCCTATAAATTGTAGAGCCGGGTCAAATCCAGATGGTCTAGGTTACCCTCTCATCCCCTAGGCTATCTTGCTTGAGTATGTTTCTGTGTTTTCTAAAAGAATGCTTCTTACAGAGAATCATAATAAAGTTGACGTATGTGCTACTGTTAAGCAGGAAGTTAGACTTGAGCGGATAGGGTGGGGCCTGCCCTGGGGTCCTGAACAAGGTTCACTGCCTCTGGGCAGCCTAGCAGCCAACAGACCACCAGTGTGCAGGTTCTGAGCCAGCTGAGTCCTGGCACAAGCTCAGAGGAAAGTGACATGACCTCAATTGGACCTTACTAGGGTTCTGGACTAATAATAAAATTGTATTGCAGTTTTTACATACACACACCCGTAGGTTTTTTTATATGCATTATGGGTAAGGGCATGCACAGAAGAAATAACCTTTTTCCATCAATTTTTTTAATAAGATATTTTATTGATTTTTTTTTACAGAGAGGGAGAGGGATAGTCAGAAACATTGACGAGAGAAAAATATCAATCAGCTGCCTCCTGCACACCCCCCACTGGGGATATGCCCGCAACCAAGGCACAACCTTGACCGGAACCGAACCTGGGACCCTTCAGTCCGCAGACCAACGCTCTATCCACTGAGCCAAACCTGCTTCGGCTTCCGTCAATTCTTGAATGCAAGTGACAGTTACTACCTAGATAACCCCTTATTTAAAGCATATAACCCAGGACTTTGGGGCCATTTCTTTCAACTGTCCCACTCCTTACTTGGAGTGTATCTTTCAATAAGTCCCACTTCACTCTCATTTCATTAAAATCTTTGTGTCAACAAGAATTGAAGTCCCAGCCACAAACCCCAATCACTAAAACCATCAGAGGTAGGGGCTTGCTGATAAGGCTTGTCAAATTTCCTAAAATTAGGAAATTATTCTTCCTGACTATCAGGATTGCCTTCTGTGAACCTGGACACTGACCAGTCTTAACCATTGAGTCACTGTGTTTTCTCTGTTCATGCATTGGTTGTTTTTGCTGTTTTTTGTTTTTGCATTGATGGTTTTGCTAAACAACTGTACTGTGGATTTTGGAATAAGTGCTAATATCTTCCTAATTTTAGAATGAGTATCATACAATGAATTATGAAGTCACACGGTTATAATTTGTGCTACTGTATGCTGGGTGCCATGTCAGGTTGCATCTGTTCTGAGAGCAGGTTCTCATCAGACATAGCCCTGCTGAGAGAAGTGGCTGGTGGTCCTGATGAACTGACTGACAAGGACTGATTCCAGCCTGCAGGGGGCAGCTTGCTTTGGACCAGAGCCTGGCCTGAAGGGGTTCATGGCGGTGTGAGGAGAGCCACTAAACTGCTCTTCCCTTCTGAAAATGAACCTCAGAAATGTCCCTGGTGCTTTTTGTGATTGAAAAGAAAATATGTGGCCTATGAATCGGAAACCATGTAGAGAGGTAGTTTAACAGCTGTTGACTGTATTTCATTAAAAGCTCCTCCGAGGCAGTGTTGCTTTATCTTCAGATCCCAAATCACTTGTCAAGTCTCACACCCTTGTACTTTAGATGACTCCCATCTCATGCCATGTGTGGCAAGAGCAACTAAAGGAACATGACCTCAATGTGGACTTACTTGATGTTTGTTAAATAGTCTTGTTGTTATTAACCACCACTCAAAAGTGCAAATGCTGCCCAGTTGGCCAGTGTAGCTCAATGGTTGAGCATCAATTCCTAGCATGGGGCCACCGATCAATGTTTCTCATCCATCTTTCTATCTCCTTCCCTCTCTCTAAAACCAATTTAAAAAACTTAAAAAGTACAATGCCTCTGGAAGGGCTGAGAGATTAGTCTGTTACATGTGACTGAATTTCTTTAATCCTTTTGTGTCTTTCTCTGTGAAGTAGCTCCACCAAAGGACTGAGAGTTTAGGATTGGGGGCAATGGCGGTAATTAAAAAATAAATTATTAAATTATTTGTAAGCACGGAGAAGTGTTCATCCATTTCAAGTGATCTTCCAGGCACCCTTGCAAGATGGGGCCATCTAAATCACTGGTAAAGAGGGTACCCAAGACAGGAAATGTGCAGGGTTGGCAAGAGCGGGGAGAATCTGACGGCAATAGTAAATGTTAAGCGTTAGTTGTATCCTAACGTTAGTTGTGTGTGTTATAGGTATTAACCGTGGGTTTCAAAGTGGCCCATAGGCCTCTTGGGGTCCTGGACCCTTTCAAGGGGCCATGAGGGCGAAAGTATTTCCTTACGAAGTTTATTTGCCTGGTTCACTGTAGCACTGACGGTACAAAGGCAATGGAGGGTAAAATTGCTTTCATGTTTACATGAGTGGCCAGTAGCACCAGATGGTACCAGTGAGTAGTCATGTTCTTCATCCCCACACACTAACAAAAGCATTTTCACTGAAGGATGGCCCTGATCAACCGATACCTGTTACCAAGTCATCAGCTCTTAGCCCTCAAGTGCACGGCTTTCCAGTGTTCTGTGATCCACGTGTAGAGATCCGTGCAGCGAGCATGGTGGTTGTCTCAGCTGACCTAGGCCTTTGTGAGACACCAGCTGTACTTCAAAGAATGACTGGCACACTGGTTACTCAGACCTGGCTATATAACAGATGTCTCAAAAAAATGAGTTACTCTACTAATCTAAATGGCACAGGCTGAGGGCTTACATAATAAACATTTCTTGTAGTTGTGGAGGCTGGAAGTCCAAGATCAAGGAGCTGCAGATCCATGGTCTGATGAGGGCCTGCTTACTGGTTTGTACACAGCCCTATTCACTGCACCTCACATGGCCCAGAGAGGGAGGGAGCTCTCAGTGATGGTCTCCCTCAACCTTTTTTTTTTTTTTACTTTTTGAAATTCCTGTGATTTTCATGGAAGCTCTAGTTGTCTTTGTGCATCCCTGATTCCTCTTTCTCCTCTTCTTTGAAGAATGTGTAGTCCCCACCCTAAGCCAAGGCAAGGTACGCTGTTAATACTCCCCTTATTCCCTGTCCGGGTTACTTCTGAGCTGACCTGATACTTAGTTCACTGTGTCCATCTAATGGCTCTGAAATCCCTCCTCTCCATTCCCCAGGTTGGGGTCAAGCCACTCACTGCTCCCTTTACCGTCCCTCTCCCGAGGGGCCCATGTGTTACCCCTGCTGCTATCACAGCTGGGACTCTGCAGCCCCACTCAGCAATGAAAGAGACAGAGTGGATGTGGCTCTCTGAGGCTGCAGGGCTCCTTACTCCCCACCTTCCACGGGGTTCCCTCCAGGAGCCCCAGGGCTAACAAGGAATGGCCCCACGTTGGCCCTGGCACCTGGGGATAAAGTATACCACTCTCCATCTAGGACCCAAGCAAACCCTCCTTCCCACCTTCCCACCCAGAGGAGGGAGCCTCCAAGAGCCCAGGGTGGGCTGGAAAGTAAGCAGTCTTTGAGGTGTCTGCAGACTGAGAAGGTCCAGTGAGAGGACAACTCCCTGGTCTAGGTTTGGTTAGTTTGCCAAGTAACCAAATTCTCAGCAGGAACTGGAAAGACCAACCACAGAGGTGTCACATGGGGGATAACAGGATTAACAGAAAGTCAGCAGGAGGTGAAGGGCCTTCACTAGTGTAGGTGAGCACTGCCCCATATGGTCCCCACTGGCCACATGTGGCTACTGATTGCCCACCTTGTGGCAGGGCTACTGAGGAGCTGGATTTTTTATCTGACTTCATTTTAATTCTGATTGAATGCGTGATTTTTTTATATAGCCCCAACCCCTGGGGCCCAAAATACCTAGAAGGCAGCTGGATGGTAACTCCAATCCATCATTTTTTAATTAGCTTCTAGAAAAAAGCCACAAATTCAAAAATTCAAAAGTTTACTAGCTTGATATAATTTGGCCCATGGATCCCTATTTTAATCTCTGGTTCTCATAGTGCAATATATGAAGGTGAAATTCATTTGTATTAAGACAAAGATAAACATCTAATTAAGTTGGGCTTTTAACTACCTGAGTTTATAGTTCATGCTTCCATAGCTTTGCAACATCAGTCGTTTTAAAAGATGTCCTCCATTGAAGAACAGAAAGGTCACACCTGAGCTGTCAGCTGGTTCAGAATAGCCCCAGGATTTTGACTAGTTTTAGGATATTACTCTATCAATCAAATTCTTCAGGTACTAACCCATTTTTAAATTTTTTATTTAGGTACATTTTTAAAAAAATGTGTTTTTATTGATTTCAGACAGGAAGGAAAAGGGAGAGAGAAACATTAATGATGAGGGAGAATCATTGACTGGCTGCCTCCTACACCACCTACTGGAGATCAAACCCACAACCTGGGCACGTGCCCTTGACCAGAATCAAACCCTGGGCCCTTCAGTCTGCAGGCTCTCACTCTAACCACTGAGCAAAACCAGTCAGGGCTATTTTAGGTACATATTAAAAAATTATTTCGTACATTAACATTTCCTACTGAATCTGTGTTTCAGAGGAAGTAACGAATTTCAGGATTCCTTGATTTGTTTTATACAAAACGGAAATAGAATAAAATGATTAATATTTCAAAGCCAATTTCCAGACAAACGCTATCTTGAGAAAAGTTTGCATTGGCCGCTGCTAAATGTACTTGCTCAGCCATTCGAGTAAGTTTCTTCTTGCCTCATCAATATAGGGCTTATCTTCAGGTGAACAATCTTCTCTCTTTCGATGCACAAACCCATGAGTTTGCCCAGAAAATGTTTTTATTTGATATTCCACTTTGCAGTGTTCTTTCAACTTCTGGGTCAGCGAAGAGACCTGGTATGCAAAGATTTTTACAATGAAATGATTCTAACCCTGAAGTAATATTTCCTAAGCTCAAAATCTCATAAAAGAAATTCAACATCAGTGCTTTAAATTGAGTTCCATAGCCATAATGAATTTTTTACTTTTAATGTTATAACCAACACAGTCCTTATCTTTGGCAAAGGAGGGAATTCAGGGCAATGTAAAAACAATACAACATCAACTATTTTATTTTTATTTATTTATTTATTTATTTATTTATTTATATTAAATTATTATCTGTGTACATATCTTACCATCCCCCCCTCCCATTCTTACCCTCCCTCCCCAGAGTTTTGTGTCCATTGCTTGTACCTATATGCATGTATACAAGTCCTTCGGTTGATCTATTATCTCCCCCAACATCAACTATTTTAAATTGTATAATTTAACTTATTCAAGTGCATATAATATACAACACTCAATATATTTAATATAAATTTTAACATATTCAAGTGTAAGCTATTTGAATATATTTTATTGATTTTTTACAGAGAGGAAGAGAAAGTGATAGAGAGCTAGAAACATCGATGAGAGAGAACCATTGATCAGCTGCCTCCTGCATACCTCCTACTGGGGATGTGTCTGTCCACAACCACAGTACATGCCCTTGACTGGAATCGAACCTGGGACCTTTCAGTCCACAGGCCGAAGCTCTATCCACTGAGCCAAACCGGTTTCGGCAAGTGTAAGCTACCGTATTTTCCAGCGTATAAGACAACTTTTGAAACGAAAAGAAGTAAACCGAAAATCGGGGGTCATCTTATACGCCGAGTATATCTTACAAATGTACCACAAGAGGTCATTAATGAACTTATGATGTCAGAAGAAGATGAGGACTTTGAAGGATTTTAAGCTCACAATGCTCCTCTGCCTAGAAAAACCTCTTATCATCCTCGTCAGTCACAAACAAGCGTTTTCTGCAAGTTCTTCATGTAATTTTCTCTCCAGATGATGCCCTCATTGTTAATGTTCTCTTTTGGATTTCTTGTTTCTCAGTCAAGTTCATGGCATTGCCATTTGTGAAGAGACCTTCCATTTATCATATCAATGTACGGTATATTACGGTATGTTTGAAAAATGTCATTCATTAAAAATTTAATTAAAAAAAGAACTGGTGTTGCCTCGGAAGTGGGGGGTAGTCTTATATAGCGAATATAGGCCTAAACCTATGTTTTAACTGAAAATTAGGGGGTCGTCTTATACGCTGGAAAATACGGTATTTGAAATATGTATTAATATAAAGTATTGGTTATGAATAATAACAATTAATTCCTAAATGACTGCTTTTGAACTACAGTTTTCATCTGCATTTCCCTTACCAACTCCGGGATTACACATGTGGGGACAGGAGGCAGGCCCTCATCTAGGCCTAGTAACCAGGTCATGCCAAGAGCACGTTGGGGAGGGTTGAAATCACACGGTGCCTCCCCTATGAAACCCAACTTTAAAACTTAATATTAAAAATAAAAAAAATTTGAAAACTTAATGTTGAAAAATATTTGGAGCGACAAGTGAACACTTTAGTATGTTTCCCCCCAAATGTCAAATCGTGTTATTAGATATGCAAAAAGGATGCCAACTTACTTGATCAAGAGGAATCACAGCATCATTTTCTGCAAAAATGAACAACGTGGGGTTCTTCAAACTGTGCACATCATCAGAATCCTTGACGATGCCTGCAGGATGGAGACGGGAACACGAGATATGATTTCCATCCATGCAGGTGCCATAGAAAACTACATAGGTTTGGTTTGATTTTTCAAAATTATATATATTTTCTTTTCTTTTTTTTTTTAAAGCAATTCCACAGAAGTGGGCTGCACTATAAAATTAGTCTCATCAAGGAGCTTATCTGGTGGGGATTTATGACCAAGGAGCAAGGTGGGAGCTGTGGATGGAAAACTAAGAGGAGCCCGGCCAGCATGGCTCAGTGGTTGAGTGTCGACCTTTGAAACAGGAAGTCAATGGTTTGATTCCCAATCAGGGTACATGCCCAGGTTGCGAGCTCAATCCCCAGTTGGGATGGTGCAGGAGGCAGCCAATCAATTATTCTCTCATGACTGATGTTTCTATCTCCCTCTCCCCCTCTTTTTTCCTCTCTGAAATCAATAAAAATCAACTAAGAGGAAACATCAGGGGAAGGGGACAGCTTGGTAAGATTTCTGCTGAAGACAGGCCAGAGGGGCAAGTTACAGAGGATGGGGGTGGGGGTGAGGGTTGAGAAATTTAATCAGGTATTAAAGGTGAGGGATCCTCCCTAAACTGACCCAGTAGGCCAAGGACAGAGGAATAGAGGACCCTGACTCAAGTTTGGTCAAGGAGTGTCCTAGTCAGTAGGAGGGAGAAAATAAGGGGTGGCTTTTCCTCCCATTTCCTGTTGGCAGCAAAGCGAAGCTAAATAACCTAGATATCCTCCCCTCACCTGTAAGTCCTCTTTAGGAGTCAGAGAGCCACAGGACAGATGGCCACACTCCTGCCCCACCGCATGCATGGTTCACTGTGTATACCTGTACAGGGCAGATTTGATGCCCCTAGACCTTAGTCCTGCCACTCCACAGCTCCTGCACTGTGCAACAGAGGCCAGAAGGGGGTGCCAGAGAGCCATTCTGCTAATTGGCACAAAAGAACTGCATGTTCTAGTAACCCCGGTGACAACTGGAAATGGACTCCTTTCATGTAAAGTAAATACTTGAAGGAACTTTTTAATGCTAAAACTAAGCAAAAATACTACAGTGAGGAGCCATTAAGCCAAATGAGAATCATCAATATAACTACATGATATATATTATGAAAGAAGGCCAAAATTTCTTTTCTTTTTTTAAACAACTTTTTATGGTCTGACTGCTTCTATATTGTGAACTTAGAATGCCATTTCTGTACACAAATAAAATGTTCTCATCAATGCTATGATACCGTTGGTTTGTGCCAGGGTTCTTTTCCCAGCCTTACAAAGGGTTCAGCATTCTGGAGAAAGGGGCTGCATGCAGATGATTAAAGAGTCCGGAGATAAAAGATAGTTTTGAAAGGCATTGGGGGTCAGAGGAGCTTCAGCTAAAGGGAACTGTAGATTCTTTCCTTGACTCAGGATGCTGCTTTTATTCTAACACAATTTGTCTCAAGCAAAGTGGAAATATATACTTCAAAGGGTAAGGTATCAAAGGATTTACAGAATCATTGTCAGATTGAGGAATAGCCTACAGCTGTCCAGGTGTTTAGCCAACAGGAGGCAATAAAATGTCCTGAGCTGTCTGGCAGCTAACAATTATCCTATTCAGGTTTGGGGGAAGTGCCTGTTTAGCCCTTTCCAACAAGTAAACTACTGTGTGGCTCACCCTTGTTGAGCCGCCCAAGCTTCACCAACTTTTTAGCAAAACTCTTGTAATTATTACATGCTGGAATTGGTTCTCTGCAGGTTTGTTTGAGCTGACATGTTTATGTTGCTATTTACATTTCAGAGTAGGTTTTCCTTCCCTTCCCTTCTTTATATAGTAGGGGGGGGGGGGGGGAGGGGGAAAAGGTTGCAGTTGAGAATAATTTTTATCTTGGAAAAATCCTTTCTAAATATCCCTCATTAAAATATTGCTTAGTATTAACCATTATCTCGGAAACAAATGTTATCCCCTTTGTCCCAAGTGAAGAAACTGAGACATCAGGTGATTTTCCCAAAGCAACACTTTTGGGATCCAGGTCCCTACTCCCAGTGAGATCCTCCCCTTACTGCAGTACAAACCTTCACCTGGACTTTCGGACTTTCAAAGCCAATTTCATGACCACTGGGTATTGTGTTACAGCCGGGACCCTTAACTTGGGAAGAGGCTCATGGCACGGTCACCCACGAACCTTCCTGTGTTCACTGTGTAAACCTGTACAAGGCAGACTTACCATACACGGATACCCCTGCCCTCAATTCTGGGTACGTCATCATCACGTGATGGACAGCAACTCCTCCCCAGCAGAATCCCACGACGCCAATTTTCTGGGCGTGACACTGTTGTTTCAGATACCTCAAGACAGCATCCACCTCTCTAGAGCAGAAAGAAAAGTTATTCGTAAATCAAGAGGTATTTCGTGAGGCCCTGGGAAGGGCACTGGGCAGGTAACAGGAGCTTATCTGCAGCTCTTCCTTGAGGTTCTGAGATTCTTACTTTCTGAGCTGCCTCCTCACCACCTCCTGCCCAGTGCTGAGGGATGCCTCTCCTGGCAAGTCTCCCTGCCAAGCTCAGTTCCTCCAACCACCTGACAGGGCTACAGGCGGGCTCTTTCCAAAAGACCAGCAAATCCCACCAGCTCACTGCCCAGCTGAAAGCTGAGCGGCAGCCTTCCCCAGCCTCAGCGTAAAGGCCAAAGGCCACAGCATGGCGCTAAGACCTGACCCCAAGATCTGTCCCTGCCCAGCACCCCAGGCTCCTCTCTCCAACAGGCCCCGGTCACAACTGGGCAGCTCCCCAAACTCTCTGACTTGGCACATTGTCTCTCCCACTTTGCATCGCCTCTCCTCCTGTGTCCAAAGAGTGGAGAAAGATTTGGAAAGCCACCAGGACTATGTAAGCCAGGAGGGGCCTAAGGGCAGTAGCCTTGGCTTTGCAAACAGTTCATTTGCTAATTGGTTATTTGGAACAACTCAGAAGATGTTTTCAGCTAGAAGCAATTAGTTAATTCGAGGTTCCTGGCCATCCAAGTCCTACTCAGAGGGAGGGGAGGTGCTGGACCATGAATCTAGACCCACCTCTCCCTCAAGACTGCTCTCTTGGGTTCGCTGGGGGACCCCACCAACACAGCCACGCCCGCCAATTACTTACTTGTCAATCTTCCTGGCATTCCTTGTTTTCAACCACTCTGGAAAAGTGGACCAGTCCCCAGAGGGGTCCCATGGCTCCTGCCCTACAAAGAAGTCTGGAACGATGGTTCTGTAAATGAGGGACAGTAACCGGTCTTAGTTTCTGTTGCTGTTGGGACTCCGTGTTTGCCTACATTCATTAAAAAACGTGCTATGCCGGCGATTCTCACTCAGGAAAAGAGAAGTCATGGCCACCAGGGCCAACTTTGATCACAGCCAAGAGGCCAATGGGCACTAGGCCAAACCATCTCGGATTTCACAACGGAAGGTGCAGGGCCTCTGGTAGCTTGTCTGTAGCCCAGCCCATCTAAAGTGACCAGGAGACTCGGCTGTGCACACACCTCAGGAGATATCACTGCACAGGACAAGGGGACCCACCAACAAGGGCTTGCAGTAAGGTGGGCCCCTCTGTCCCCAAACCTCTTAGCTGGCCTTTCCCATTAGCCTCAGGTCAGAAGGGCACACCTGGTTAGCCCATCCAGTCACTATGACCAAGCAATTTTCCCCAGCGCCGCCCAGCATGCCAGCAGGGCACAGTTTCCTGTCGGATGGTATAAGTCTAATGAGGGTTCTAAAAAGGGCCAGCTTGCTCAAGTCCATGTCAATTGTAGGGGAGGGAAAAAATTTCCCTCCTTCCCTTCTAGGTTCTTTGGCTGGTCTAGTAATTATATTGACATGAGACAGATGAGCAAGTGAAAAACAAATTGGATTTTGTGGGTGAGAAAGGAGGTTCTATGGAAAGTAACCTCACAGCATCATCTGATCATAAATTCCTTAACGGGGCAGCTGGTGATGGGCAGTCATGTCCCAGGCACATACTTTTTTAGTAACAGGTTTTTCTTTGCCTTAAGCAAGCCCTGTCCATTGTTTCTGGGCGTCTAAGTTAACACATCTTTGGCATAAGCATAACCACCCTCAAAAGAGCACATCCTCTTGTTAACTCTCCTGTAATTCAATCCCCATCTTGTTTCTCTCACCTCCATGAATTCATCCATTCCCTTTCACTATCTTCCCCACAAGTCCACCCAGGAGAGTGAGACCAACACTGACCCACCCAGAGACCGGTTTCCAACACAAAGGGCCGTCGCCATGGATGGGGGCCCACAGCGCCTCCTTCAGGGGGGAAAGGACACTGACATTTGGGTCAGAAGAAGGTAAATTCTAGCCCCAACGGCTTTGACTCAGTGGATAGAGCATCAGCCTGTGGACTGAAGGGTCCCAGGTTCGATTCTGGTCAAGGGCATGTACCTTGGTTGCAGGCACATCCCCAGTAGGGATGTTGCAGGCACATCCCCAGATGGGCTTGCCGCTGGGATGTTAAGGCAGCTAATCAATGGTCCTCTCATCAATGTTTCTAATCTCTATCCCTCTCCCTTCCTCTCTGTAAAAAAAAATAAAATAAAATAAAATATATTAAAAAGGAAGGTAAATTCCAGTTCCAGTACTGCATCGTCTGCCCTGTATTCTTCAAACATCTAACAACATGCAGCCCCACGTTCTCCACCTAAGAAACAGAGACTGCTCCCAGCCTTGCCCAGCCTCAGAGGGTTATTGTGAGGGAAAATGAGTTGGACGTGTGAAAGGGCTCTGCAAATCACCGGTGTCTGGACTCTAGATCGCCAACCTGAGCAGCCACCTGAAACAACAGGAGCTGCAGCCCCATCCCATCAGCTCCTGGGGCAGGGTGACCTGAGGCACCTGTCTTCTTGCCCTGCTTTCCGGCTCCTGAAATGAGAACAATGACGGAGCCTCCCAGGAGGGGTGGCTGGGAGGACAACAGCCCTTCACAGCCTGAACGCAGGGCCTGGCTGAGCCAGAGGCAATCAGGACCGGCTGTCCTTTGTTTTATTACTGGGCTTGCCACTGGGATGTTAAATTGCCTCATCTCAAAAATAAACTAGAGGATATTAAAAAGTGAAAAATCGAGTGAATCCTCTTTTGAGTCAACACTAAATTTGCCTGCTTCCTTTAGATCTGTTCTTTTCGGAGGAGAGCCGGGAACCTGCACCCTTTGCTTTCCAGCTTCTCTTTGGGGAGAAAACAAAGGCAATCGGGGGCTCCACACTCAGGGCTTGCTGGGTCCCAGGCTTTCTGAAGCCGAGAGGAAGGAGTGGTTCCTCCCCTCCTGCATGCGTTTCCTCGTAGCTGTTACCAACCCCGGGGCAGTTGATGAGCGAACAGGTAGCAGCAGCATTCGCCAAGATGGGAGACAGCGAGGTCTCACTGGGCCAGTTCCGGAACCCAGTCTAACGCAGATGGGCCGTGATAGCTGGAGGCTGACATGCTTCAAGGGCCAATTAATGGGTCATCTCAGAGCTGGCGAGGTCTGCCCAGGGACACATGTCCTGTGGCTGTGTCCTGCGGGGCCCCACACTGAGGGCATCCCCAGGAAGACCTGAAGCCCGGGAACTTGGTGGCTTCTGATGGACAGCAGGTGGGTGTTTTTTAAAAAATATATAGTTTATTGAGAGGAAGAAAAAGGGATAGGGAGTTAGAAACATCAATCAGCTGCCTCTTGCACAACCCCTACAGGGGATTGTGCCCTCAACCAAGGTACATGCCCTTGACCAGAATGGAACCTGGGACCTTTCAGTCTGCAGGCCAACACTCTATCCACTGAGCCAAACCGGTCTTGGCATCAGGTGGGTGTTTTAAGTTTCACATTACATTTTCCAGAGAGATAAGGAAGTAGATAATGTAGATTAGGGACTAGATAAGAGAAGGTGAGGAAATTAGCCAAAGAACACAAATGCATAACCTGTGGACACAGGCAATAGAGTGGTGATGGCCAGGGGGAAGGGGGGTGGGCGAGGAGCTGGGTGGAGGTGGGCAAAAGAAGGGGAAAGAGGGACATCTGTAATAGTGTCAGCAATAAAAATAGTTATTTACAAGAAGAAAAAAGAATACAGTCAGGGTTTTTGGGGTTGCTTTTGTATTCCCTAAAGGGAACACAATATACATCACAGAAATTTCCATGGATTTTATCAAAGAAAAATAGGATTTTATACGCACGTGTATCCATTTCCTGAGATCATGTCAGCCATGTATCTGGTATTGGGCATCTCCCAACCGAATATATCTTGAATGACAATCACGGCTTTGCCAGCATCAACGGGGCATCTGGTGACGTAAGCCTTGATATGTTCCACTTGAACTTCACGCCCCATCCCTCCATACTCCATCTTATGGCCAATGTCACAGGGACAAGGATGAGCTTCGTTAGCCATTGGAGATATTGAAGTCAGGCTACAGGGAGAGAGAAACACGCTTTATATTCCGAATGGGGAAAATCTGAAGATTTTGAACAATAAATAAACCAAAATCAAGATTGACTCTACTCCTAGTGTACTCATGCAAGAAATCAGTGCTGGAATTTAGTCCAACTGAAGACATCATAGGGGACAATTTTATATTAACTTAATATGTTCTCATATACCTTCAATATGTGTAATATCTATTAGGCACACCTTTAATATCTGTTTTCTGGAAGAAAAACAAATAAACAATATTGGCTGCTGGTTCTGGCAACACCACAGGGTTGGAGCTAATAAGACTCCATTCACATTGCAAACATTGGAAATACCAGAATGAGTGGAACCAGCAAATAAAAACACAACGTGGCGGAGCTCATGGGAAGAAGGGAACAGCACCAGGGCTGGAACTGGAGAGGAAGCCAAAACCAGGGTGAGGGTAGGGGGAACAGATGCTGCCGAGAGCTCGGCCAGGCTGGAGACAGGCCAGACCTGGGACCAACCTAACCTAGCCTGGATTCTCCATCCAGTCAGGCCTTGGGAACCCATGAATTGGGATTTGTAGCTGAGACCACCCTCAAGGGTTCTGAGTTAGTGCGATACATAAGAAACAACAGCAAAGAAAAACTGTGGACCGGGACTAGGAATATGTAAAGAAGCCTAGGAGGTTATAAAAAGAAACTATCACCCCAATTTACAAGATCCTTAGTTTCAAGGAGGAAAACCTGGCTGAGAAATGAACATAACTGGCCCTGGGCATCTGGCAGAAGCAAAAGCAAATCTACTTTATAGCCAGACATTCACAATCCAGGCGGAAAATGCTACCCATGGAAAAGGAACTCACTATAAAGTGCCAAATGGAAGGAAGCGCTCCAAATAAACAATAATCAGGAGAGATTATGGTGACAGCGTGGGGAGAAATGAGGACAGGACCTACCTAGCAAGCTTCACCAAACAAACCGAAAGCAGGAAAGGAGAAGAAAGAAAAACTAAACTTATCATCTGCAATGGGAGAAAGTATATGATTGAAATAGATCTGAATAAATAGAAATAGAATAAATTCATTATGAGACAGATTCTCAAAATGAAGTTTTAAATGTTGAGGTACCATAGAAAAGAGACCATAAAAGCACTGAACCCAAAGATGTCTCTACAGATGCAATGATCAGAGGTCTGGCATGTTGGTGTCTCCTGTTCAGGGTGCCATAATGCTGGGATTCTTTTCCCAGCCTTACAAAGGGTTCAGCATTCTGGAGAAAGAGGCTGAGTGTAGATGATTAAGAAGTCCAAGACAAAAGATATTTTTGAAAGCCATTGTGGGTCAGAGGAGCTTCAGCTGAAGGGAACTGTAGACTCTTCCTTGACCAATGACCCATGCTTTTATTCAACACAACCTGTCCTAAGGCAAGGTGGAAATATACACTTCAAAGGGTAAAGTATCAAAGGGTTTACAGAATCATTGTCAGATTGAGGAATAGCCTACGGCTGTCCAGGTGTCTGGCCAACAGGAGGCAATAAAATGCCCTGAGCTGTCTGGCAGCAGGCAGTCATCCTATTCAGGTTTGGGGAAAGTGCCTTTTAGCCATTTGCAACTGGTAAACTACATTTGACTGAGCCCTGTTGAGCTCCCCAACCTTTTGGTGAAACTTGTGTAACTATTACATGCTGGAATTGATTCTCGGTAGTGGCAGTGGCAGTGGGTGTCTTGTGTCACAGTGTTGGAACTGTGTGGTGAGTTTAGGAGCATCCTTGTACTATTGTACTAGTCTGTCTACTTTTATTTTTTATGTATTTTTAATTGAATATTAGAGAGAGAGGAAGGGAGAGGGATAGAGAGATAGAAACATTGATAAGAGAGGAAATCATCTATCAGCTGCCTCCTGCATGGCTCCCATTGGGGATCAATCCCACAACCCAGACATATGCCCTGACCAGGAATCGAACTGGTGACCTCTTGGTTCCTGGGTCAACACTCAATTGCTGAGCCACATCAGCCAGGCTCTACTTTGATATATGCTTAATATTTTCCTCAACAACAAAAAAAAAGTTTAATTTTTATTAAAATTTAAAAAACTATAAGATAAACAAAGCAAGAAGACAAAGTATGAACTTTGAATATACCATTCTTGAAGCAGATTTTGTGTCTAGATAAAATATATGAAGAATTCTTTTTTAAAAATATATTTTATTGATTTTGTACAGAGAGGAAGGGAGAGAGATAGCGAGTTAGAAACATCGACGAGAGAGTCATCGATCAGTTGCCACTTGCACACCTCCTACTGGAGATGTGCCCACAACCAAGGTACATGCCCTTGACCAGAATCGAACCCGGGACCCTTCAGTCCCCAAGCCGACACTCTATCCATTGAGCCAAACCGGTTTCGGCTGAAGAATTCTTATAAATCAAGAAGAAAAAGACAACATCAACAGAAAAATGCTCTAAAGATAATGAGTGGGCCATTCACAAGAGGGAACACCTGAATGATATGAAAATATTATTAAGGTCACTAGTATATAAGAAAATTATACAAAGAACAGCAATGACATATTGATAACACTAGAAGATGGTGTCCATGAAATATAAGCTGATACAAACTCTAAAAATATGTATGTCAAGGTCTAGCAATGATGAAGACACTCTACAACCCAGAAATCCTATCACTCCATATATTCTCTAAAGAAATTCATGTGTGTGTGTGTGTGTGTGTGTGTGTGTGTGTGTGTGTGTATCCATGCATGCATGCAGTGGGTGGTACGGAAGTACATTCTTGGTAGCATAGATAGGATGGCAAAAATTGGAAGCAACTAATTGACCATCAGGAGAAGAATGGGATAAACTGTGATTCATTCATTGTTGTGGTTTGAATTCTGTCCCCCCAAAAAGATAGGTCAAGTCCTACCCCCAGAACCTGTGAATGGGACCTTATTCATTCATAGGGTTTCACAGAGGGTAATCAAGTTAAGATGAGGTCGTCCTGGTGAGGGTGATGCTCATCTAATTAATGACTGGTGTCCTTACCAGAAGAGGGAAATGTGGGTATAGAGACAGACACACAGCAGAGGAGTGATGCATCTGCAAACCAAGGACCCTAGGATAACCACTCAACCCCAGAAACTGGGAGAGAGGCAAGGAGGTATTCTCCTTTAAAGGTCTGAAGAAGAGCATGATCCTACCAACACCATCATTTAGGACTTCAGGACTCCACAACTGAATAAATTTTTTGAGAGAATAATTTCTGTTGTCTTAAGTCACTCAGTTTATGGCAACTCTAGGGCACAAAAAACTCATAAAAGGAATATTCAAAGCAGTTCAATGAACAAACTATATATATCAATATGATAAATCTCAAAAACATAATGCTATAATAATGATGATAGCTTTTTTAATGCTAAATAAATACTAAAACCTCAAAGTAATACATATATTATTAATAAGTATAGGGTTTAACGTATAACTCAAGAGAATGAAGCCTCCGTTAGAGAGTGGTTATTGGCGGGGAAAGGAGATTATTGTCTTTAATTGTATTTGTTATATTTTATTTCCTTAAAAAGTTTTGATTTGAAGTACATCAGAAAAAAGATAATGTTTTGTTTTTTTTAAATCTGGGTCATGTGAATATGGGTGCAGCTATGCTATATCATGTACTTTGCAGGACATTCTACATGTTCATAACTAGAAATAACATAATTTTAAGGAGAGAAATTAAGAGTAGCCATTTGACCACAGGAAATTTGATTCTATTTTGTATGGCTTTTTGTTCATAAGCTACATCATAAAACTATGATTAGTGAGAGAAGTCAGAACAACCAAGTAGCAGTAGCAGTGCATTTTATGGCCGCTGTACTGTTTTTGGGAGTGGATTCCTTGGGCTAGTTTCTTACCTAGGCTGTCCTGAGGGTGAGGGGACCACGGAAAATCCTGGTCGTTCCAAATTAGCCTTGAATCTGAATCTTTTAACTTTATTTTCAGTTGATATCCACTCTCTGAAAGAAGTGTTTACAGCCAGGAGACCCACTCTCTGGACTGATCCTGCAAGGTTCTTCTCCTGCAGAAAGGGGAGGTGCCAGGACAGGACTGCGTGTGCTGTGTGTGGAAGTCTGGGCTCCTGCCAGACCCTTCACGTGGCACAGCAGCCTGTGTGACGCCAAGGTCACAGTGGGCAGGGCAGTTTCTACAGACTATACCCCCTCGTAGTGTGAGAGCCTCAGGGAACATACCCTTGACTAACTTCTGACTGTACTCTAAAGAAATTTTCTATGTGCATATACCTTTCAGGATTATGGTTCCTTCCCTCCCCCCCCCCCCCCAAAAAAAGACACATTTGTGAAAAGGTATTTTTTTTCTAAAAAAAAAAAAAAAGTAAAACCATAGATATAGAATGAATATATTAAAGATTTTATTTTACAGATAAGATAGGAGGGAATGAGGCAGATGTTATAGACTGGTTCAAAGGACAAAAAGAAAAGAACACAAAGTTATATGTCATAAAGGAAGATTGAGATGAATTGCAAGTGGAAACCAAACAGATTTTCCACTGGGAGAGAAGAAGCCAATAAAATCTCTACCAGATAGGACCGAATTTACAAATCTATCAGTTACCCAGGACTTTCAAAGAATTGCAATCTCGTTCAAACACAGTGAACAGGGCTAGAATCAGACAGCCCAGAAGGGTGTGCTATGGACAGTGAGTACTTTTCCATTGACAGTTTTTTCTATATGACCTTATAGTCATTCACTGTGAGTAGGAAGGCTTCAGTTTCCTTCTAGAAAGAATGGGCTGCGCGTCTGACATGTGTGGTAGGGTCCTCAGAAAACATATGTCCAGGAAGGCTTTTCCGTATCATGGCAGCTGAGCATGGCAACACATCCTGCCACCCTGAGACCAGCTCCTTGTCCCAATTGGTGAAGCCACTAGAAGCCAGCACCTCTTTATGGCATCAGGGCTGGCCAACATGTGCTCCTACAAAGGACACCC